TATTTTTTTTACTATTATAAATACTGCTGTGCTGAACATCTTTGCATATGAATTTTTGTCGTCAATTTGTATTATTTCCCAAGGATTAATTACTAAATGTAAATGTTCAGTGGCCAGGATATGAGAATTTTTGGGCTTTTCATGTATATCACCAAGTTTTTTGGTGAAAGTTTAAGTGAGTTCTCACAAGTCATTTAAGGTTTTGTTCCTATGAACTTATAGGGAGTAGGAGTAGGGAAATGACCTTCATTTTAGAGATGACTGCTAAAAGCAAGTACATTGATGTCACTGCATAACCCTTATTTGCCTTATAACAATGGAACATTAGAGTTGGTCACTTAAGATTTGCTATTCACAAAGGTTGCTGACATATAGCTTAAAACAGAGAGAGTATCATGTAGAAACTCTTTTTATATTCTAACTGAAACTAATTGATGTTCGCTTTAGTCAAGTAAGTTCATTGCTTTAGCAATTAATAGAAAACATTCTAAGTAAATTAACATTAAAGGGCATGCTGGTCACAGTTTGTGTGTGTGTGTATTTTCTGGCATGTTCTAAAACTATTATAACCATTTATAAACATATTTATTTATTTATAAACCATTTATAAACTGAGTCCACCTAGAAAATTAAAAGCATGAAAATGACCTGAGTAATTTTATTTGCTTGGAAAGAAATGTATCTCTTTAAAAAAGTATGATTATGCTAATTTTAGAGGGCTTTTCTTATGCCTGGATTTAGATTTTTCATGATCTACAAGTAGATGAGTCACAGAAAGGGAACTCAGTATTTATTATATACCAGATAGTTTTCAGTTACATGTAAATGTACTTGTCAATTTTATCTTCCTTAAGATTGTCATCAATGTTTTCAAAAATATTTATTGGTTTCTTAAAAGTGGTTTGATATACAACCTTACCAAAATCTTAGCTACAAAAAAGTTTCTAGATTTTAGCAATATTAAAGTCATATTAAATAAAAATATTTACAATTTATAGACTATCTACTATGTGCAGGAGGTATCTCATAAAGTGGAATTCTAGTACAATTAAATTTTTCGATATACTCTTGATTGTCATTATAGTGGGATTCTCCTTATCAAAAACCAATTTATTATTTTAGAATAAATGACCTTTTTGGATTTGATGTTCAACCTTCTTATATTTGTCACATTGATCATGTATTACCCATCAACACAAATAAAAGATCCCATTAAATTGTATTAAAGATGTTTTTTCTAGGATAACATTGTGCTGAATAGTTCATCACATCACATAATTTTTTTCTCAAAGAGCATTTATTTTTTATTTTAAAATATTTAATTAACAAATGAAAATTGTACATATTCAAGGTATACAATGTGATGATTTGATATACTTATGCATTGTACAATGATTACCACCGTCAAATTAATTAACACATCCATCACCACCCATAGTTACCATTTTGTGTGTGTGTGTGTGTGTGTGTGTGTGTGTGTGTGTGTGTGGTGAAGACAATTAAAATCTACTCTCTTATCAAATTTCAAGTAAACAATACAGTATTGTTAACTACAGTCACTATGCTATACACTAGAGTCCCAGAACTTACTCATCTTAAAACTGAAATTTTGTATCTTTTGACCAACACCTACCCCATTTCTCTTACCTCCAGCCCCTGGAAACCACTCTTTTACTCTCTGCTTCTATGAGTTTGACTTTTTTAGATTCCATATATGCGTGAGATCATTTAGTATTTGCCTTTCTGTTTCTGGCTTATTTCACATAGCATAGTGTCCTTCAGGTTCATCCGTGTTGGCAAATGGCAGTATTTCTTGCCTTTTTATGACTGAATAATATTCTACTATATGTATGTATACCACATTTTCTTTATCCATTTATCAATCGATGGACATTTAAGTTGTTTCCGTATCTTGGTTATTGTTCCAAAGAGTATTTAATTTGAAATAATCATATGATTTATTTTAAGTATATGATATAGTCCAGATTATACTGGAAAACATTCCAAGAGAAGTTCATGACTTTTAAGTTCATATTGCTACCAGTTAAAGTTAATTTAGTAGCCCCATTAAAAATTTTTCACTTTCTTCATTATTTATCTTCATGTTATATTCTTTTGCTTTCAGGGTTCCACAGAAATTACTTATCACCTCTGTATATAACTCAAAGTCAAAATTATATTTTAATTTTTAGAGTAATTGGTCATAGATACTATTATGTCACTCCAACTTCTAAATTCATTTATTCATAAATCTTTATTCTGCTCTTTTATAGTTAACGGAGTCTTCTCTACCAAATCTGATTTATCCTTAATCTATTTTTTTTTCTCTTGAGCATAGGTAAATCACTAGGTCGTTTTGCAGGGATGTTCAGCCTGGTATATATTTCAATCATTCGCTTTCATTTTCTCTGTGTGATAACTTACACAGTTGCATCCCTCTGTAATAAATTCCTCCAATGGATCAGAAATAATTTTTTTTCTCAGCAATTACATTTTTATGATTGCCACTGTAGGCATCTGCACTTTATCACTTTCAAGATCCAAGTTTGGAAATACAATGCAGGAAGTCTATTTGTGCAGAATTGCACTTACAAAATTTACATCTCTATGTTGTACAGTCTTTGAAGGGGATATAAACTGCTAGATCATGCTACAGTCATTATATAATGAAACCGTCTATAATCTTAATTTGCCACGAAATGTAACTTGCTATATGTCAGATTTATGTTGAATGTGAGCTAAAGGAATTGATTTACTCAAAATCCCTTAAAATAAAAATAATAACACACTGCTTATAATGTGTTATGTGTTGTAAAGTTTTTTTGGGGGGACAAAGGTTCAAATGTATTTTCTGATGTAAATATATTCCATGTTTTCAAGAGGTAAATATAGAGTTAGTTAGAGTTAGTAATAAACATTATTTCTCTGACTTTCACCCCTAACGTTTGTAGTACCTCTTGGCCATTTCCATCTCCCTAGTATCTCCTACCTGTTTCTGGGAGTCCTCTTGGGGACAGCTATTATATTCACTGGGTCAAGTTTAAGAATATCTACCAAACCCTGTATCAGTTAGCATGAACAAGGTTATAATATGATAAGAAGACAACCCTCAAGTCTCAGAGGCTTAGTAAAAATCTATTTCCTGCTCAAGCTACATGTCTAATGTGAGTTCGCTGGGGTCTCTGCTAAGTACAGGCACTCAGGGATCCAGGCTAATGTACACTTCATTTCAACATGTACTTCCATTGTCACTGCTACAGGGGAAAGAGAAAATGATGAATCATACAAGAGCTCCTAACACGTCTGCCTGGATGTGACATATGTCAATTTCACTCACATTGCTTTGGTCAAAGCAAGTTATGTGGTCAAAAAGGATGTGGGATGAGCAATCCTGCCCTGTGCCGAGAGGAGAATGGGAATATTTGTGAACAGCCTCAGTAACTATTACATTCCCATTGCCTTATTTTTAGGGATTCCTTTTTTTAAGTCTCCATCTGCTATCATGTCGCTTTGCCACCATGGCCACAGCTGACTTTCTTGGGGTGGGCAGCTGACTCAGTGACACAC